AGTAATGAAGGTGTCATGGAGGCGGTCAATGAGAGCTTTGAGGGCCAAAATAGATTTGAAGGGAACTCAAGGAAAGATTTTTCAAAAGAAATTTATCCGTTTTCTCCAAGATGCTTCTCCTCTGAAACCATAAATAACCAAATTTGATGAAACACCCCAAAGTTGTTCCTAGCCTGAAGCTCACCTATTTTTAATCAATTCTACTCTGATCATCTGAGTGAAAAAACTGAAAATAGATTTTACAAAAATCCAAGATTGTGACCCCATCGACACTTTGTGTAACATCATCTAATAAAAATAAAAAATAAATTGTTCAATTTTAACCATTGGGTCAAAATTGGCCCCGAAACGGGCGGTCATGACTGTTGAACCCTATATGGTTGATGCTTCACAAATCTCGTCTTGCAAACTACAAAGAGTATATCTTAGATATTTAGCATGAAACATTGTTTTGTGAACCTTTACCAAATACGTTCACATAATAGCCCTGTGGACAAAATTGGTTTCATCCTGGGGGTCGGAGTAAGGGATTTTCCGTGTAGGTGAATACAGATACAATGTAAAATAAATAGACTTTCACACTCGTCTTTTAAAAACATAGATAAACATTTCCAAAAACATTCGCTTCGAAATGTCTATCATTCGAGAAACATTGAAAGTAGTTTATTATACCTAAATGTAATTTTTTGACTTTCACATGTTCACATATATACCTTTGAACTGTGTGTAATGCCACTTAAATTACACACTTGTTATTTTTTAGAAATATAAATAGAAGCTTCCGAGACTCATTACATTATACATTATTTTATACGGAAAACAATACTAAAATATTATGTTAACATTGAGGAAAGATCTAACGAACAATCGAGTGAATGAACGACTTAAAAATATTTAACAGATAAAATTTATTAGTTCTTTAAAATCAAATTGTATTAAATTGTCGGGAAAGGAAAGTTATAGTGATATAATTTACATTATTGAAAAAGGGTTGTAATGTTAATCAATCTGCCACCTGATATAACGTTGTTATCATCAAAAGAATTGGCAAAATACAAAGTTTCTTGATTCTGTTTTGATAGTTTGGATTGTATCGTTGAATATCTACTGGTATCTTAAATCGTTCGGCCTATTTTTTCCCACTTGTTTAGCTTTGTCATTGTATAGGTATTGTGTATAGACAAACAAACCATATTGTCTCATAGAGATCAAGTGGCACTTTCTATCACATGTTTCTATATTTCTAAAGCAAAAACATAACTATTTGAAAACGGAAGGAAATACCAGCATCTGAAATATAAGAGAAAAACTCGCACTTTGCATCAATATATTTCTATACTATTAAACAAAGGCAACTTTTGAATATTTGAAATGATTCGTTATGTCAATAAAAAAGGAAACATAGTAAACGGCTTGAGCTTGAATGTTGTACTGATATGAAAACAGTTTCTGTTTGCAATATCCGTATGTATAGAAATTATTTTCTGTTAATTTATTTTCCCAGGGCTGTATTATGACTGTTTAAATGACAAGTATTTAATATAATTGTGATTGCATAGAAGTAGGAACGTTTCTTCTGATAGTAAGTGTTTGATATTATGAGCAAATTTAGATGAGGACAAAATGAAGAAACTATTTCAGAAGCTAGTATTTTTTTCTGCATTATCGCTGCTCTTTGAGCCGACCTTTTGTGAAAAGATCAAACGTTTTACATCTAACGGAAGAAATGCTGGAATACTAGAAATACAAAATGTACGGTCGTTGTTGAAATGTTCCATTCACTTTCAACACAATGCGCATTTCAAGTCGTTTAACTATCACAAAAATGATCAAATATGCGAACTGAGTAGCCTTTATCCGGAAAGCTCAACAGCAGAGGACGGCTGGTCAGTGTACGCATATAGTGGTAAGTTTCTTTTGAAATGTTGTCAGTATGCTTTTAAGACATTGTCAGTACTTTTATATGTCTAATCTTTGCCAAGGCTTGCCTTGAAATTCCTAATATAGCTGGATACAAAATTTATTTTCTAAACAATTTGTACTCTTCCAGTATAATAAAAAGTGTTATTTGATTATTACAAGATATGATTGGATATCCGTAATGAATATCTTTCATATAAACCATAAGAGGTCAGTTAGACAAAGTAGGCTCATATTTGTTAGTTTTGTACCAGTGTATACGCAAAAAATGTAATTTCATAAAAAAGGAAATATTTTTGAAAGATAATCTTACAATATCAGGGTAAAATAATTTGATATATACTTACTATGCAACTATAGTCAAAATAATTATTAAGTATGTGCAAAACAGGAGAACGCACGACAAAAACGTGACATAATTGATAAGATTTTTAAATTTAAATTCATTACAGTAACACATTTAATTTGAATTGAAAGATTACTTGTGTAAAGAAAGTGTGGATATACATGTAATAAAAATTGACCATGCTGTATTTCTGTCTTACAATATCTTGCCCAGACCTAACTTTTTATAACTTAAAAACAAAATTACACAGTAAGTAACCCGTTGCACATTATGCTAACTTGTAAGTGTCGTGTTTCTGAAAGAAAAATCACTAGATTATGTGTAAATGGTGAATACTGCTTAAGTGCTGCTGGTGGGCGTCGGAACTGAGTGTTTGGACGCTCTTTTTTTTACTTTGTTTTCTCCATTTGAACACGGAAAAACAACATTTACTGTGCGCTGTGAACGGAATACGTTCATACTGACATACATTATTAGTTGTGTTTTTCTTTTTGTGACAATTAAATTTAAGGACATGTAAAGATTTATAATTTAAAATGGAATGGTGTTTGCCCAGACTTACGGACGTACAGAGCACGCTCTGTCATTTTTTTATCAGACCTGGAGTATGTAGTAAATGTATTAAACAATTATTACTTCGGAGACCCATTACGCTTTTATTTTTGTTTTCCGAAAGCTTTTAATATGCGTTGTAATGTTCCCATTTACCAAAATAATTACTCATTTGAGTTATAATTTAAGTATGTTGCTTTTCCGGGAATTAGTACAGTTAAAAGCTTTCCGGGAATTAGTACAATTAAAAGCTTTCCGGGAATAAGTACATTTAAAAGCTTTCCGGGAATTAGTACAGTTAAATGCTTTCCGGGAATTAGTACATTTAAAAGCTTTCCGGGAATTAGTACAGTTAAACGCTTTCCGGGAATTAGTACAGTTAAAAGCTTTCCGGGAATTAGAACATTTAAAAAGTTTGGGTAAGTAGTACATTTAAAAGTGTTTTTTTTGTGTTGGAAAGAACTTAAGTTTTATTTGTTTTATGTTTTCTTTTGGGCTTTTTTTAGGGTAAAAAAAGTCTTTGGGGCTCTCAAAAAACCATGTTTAAAAAATTTTAAAAAAAGCTTTTTTTGCCTTTTTAAAGAAGGAAAAAATATTTCTTTTCAAAGGAAAATGTGTTTTTAAAATAAAAATTTTTCCTTTTAGGTTTCCTGCTTATCTTTCTAAAATCTTTTCAGAAATTTTTTGTTGTTAAAAATTATTTTGGTTTTAAATTTTTTAAAAAACTTAAACTTTTTAATAAGAAAAGTTTTTTTAATTTTTTTTAAATTTTAAAAGTCGATGGTTCTGGGGTAATTGGTAAACGGGCCGGTTTCCGTGAATTGGAGATGGAACTGTAAAGGAAAATTTTGCTAACCTTTTCCCCCCCGGGGAGGGGTTGGGTAGATGTAAAAATAAAGTTGTCGTGGGCGCTGGGTTTGGTTTTTTTCTTTTTTGTTATTTTGAAGGGACTTCTTGGTTGTCTGAATACATGTAAAAAACGCACACGAATCAGAGATTTTTTCTGTGTTTTGATGTATACTATCAATTGTTCCACCTTTAATTACGGTTTTTACGAATAGTGATATACAGTAGCGATATTGAATACGACGGTGACCCCTGGGAGGCAAATAAAACAACAAAAGATTATATGCTAAATTTCATACTTATTTGATTGCCTCTTTCCGCTGAATATAATTTCATAAATCCACCTTTACGCCCTTAAAGATCAAACAAAATGAGGAAAATGAATTGTAAAAATCTAGTAGAGTAGCTTATCGCGTTAATCTAAAATTTGGACTTTCAAATTGTGTTTTATTTCTTTAGAAATTTGAAAATATATACATGCTATTTAAAAATTCTATACGAAACTATAATTAAACTTAATTCTTTTCCCAGTCCATAGGCTATCAACCTGAGTACATTCTACCGCGAATTTGGGCTACTGCAAAGGTACGTAAAGAAAGTTGGAAGGCGATTAAAAGCAACTTATAACAGAAACTGCTTTATGTGATATAATTAAAAACATGCACCATAGAAATATGAAAAATGCAATTTGTGCAAAGAATTCATAAAAATAACTTCTACATCTGTTTCCCAAAACCTAAGTTTATGCATTATACCTCTTTCGATAATAATGGATGCATCCACCCTGTGCTGTACCTCTTTCATGATTAAGTGTTAGAAGAGAAAATCAACACAATTTCTTCATACTTTTAACGAGGAATAGTTACGCAAATCACACTTTTCATTCAGATCCAAAATAAATAATAAATAGATTTATAGCCCTACTTGCACTGTATGCAGACTATATGTTTTTTTTACTAAAAACATTTTCTGCTATTTAAAAACTGTTCGTCAATCTGTCAATTGTAGGTCAATGTTCACATACAGTTATCCTAGTTTCTAAGTCAAATGTTAGGAAACATACATGTTTTAACTCTAAATGAATCTAGCCAATTAAACATATATATCACGTTTGTTTGTGGTTTTTACATTTATAATGAGATAAGGGGCCTTAAAATATGTTTCCTTTTTCGATTATAAATAGAATAATCTGTAACGCGAACAAATAAACAAAACAAACAAAAGCAAATCGATAAAATGGTGATTACAACAAATGCACAATTTCCTTGTATAGACATAAGTGTATCGTCGAGTTGTTGATGATTATTTATTACTATTTGCATTGAGACTTTTTAGCATCGTTTTTGAGCGAAGCTGTGTATTCTACATCTACATATATTGTTTTTGTTTAAGAAATGTTGAATACAAATGTATAATTTCTTATTGATTCCTAGGCTGTCTGTGAAAGTGCATCTGCGAGACTTGTGATAATGGATAGCCAGCAGAAGAAGGATGATTTGTTATCACTAAACAATTATCAAGGTAATAAAAATAATTTAAAATCTTGACCAGAATTAATTCTAAATTAATGAAGCAGAATACTAAAACCAGAGTTGGTTTCAATGAAATTGGTTGTAATTAAAGAAAAAAGAAACATTTTCCAATGGGACAGGGAACACACCTTTCTCAAAATGCTATGAGTTCTGGAGCTTGGCCTACTGAGCATGCTAGTGAACATTCGTTTGGTTGAATCTGTACATGAGGTATAATGAAAAAGTACAACCTCTCTTACGCCTAACCTAGCACCGCCCTGACCGGTACTTAATTTTCAACACTGAAAAGTGCTGGACTTAATGATCCAAAAGGATGTATGTATTAATAGGTTACCTGTTAATTTTAAATTCATTAATTCACTGAATGATACTATATAAGTATGCAAGTCGATTTTTGTGACGATACAAGTTTGATGCACCGGAGTCCAATAATACTATTATATGCATCATGGGGAAAAATAAATGATAAGCTTGACTGACCAATAAGATTATGCAACTCGGACTGATACCTGAACATATTTCTGTTTGCACAACGGACATGCACGAGAATTCTTTCCAGGTTTTTACAGGCGAATTGAGAATTAAATGTATCCCAGCATTGTTTTTATTTAATTTTGTATAATAATAATTAAGTGAATATGCCAAAACTGGTGAAATATTAAAAACATCAAAACACATAGGTTCTATACCACACTTAATAGAAATTATATGTACATGTATATGTACATAATTATGCTTATGAAACAATTTTCAAACATCGAAAAATATGTAAAATATGTACTGCAAATATTTGTACATATTATTTGTAATCATTAAAATATGTGCATTCATTTTTCATTTTGGAAAAAATTGACTTAGACATTATAGAAAATATTTTTATTGCCTCCCTTTATTTACATGAAACGTTAAATTCGGTAATATCTTATCTCTTATATCTTATAAATATAATTAGTGCTTTTTGGAACTTACAAAGATTATCAATCCTAATTTGAGCAACATATTTATGATATAAAACCATAGAAAATGTGTAACATGATCTTAAATGGTAAAGGAAAAGTATATATGTTGTTGTTTTTTCTTTTTAAATCGGTAACTTTGACATTAGCATTGGCGTCATCTTAATACAAATGTAAAGACAACATGGTGTTTCTTTAGCTTGTTTTAAATGTTTCATCTTATCGGATTAGCAATGAATTAGCCAATTTAATTTCGTTTTCGCGATTCTAATGTCATTTTTAAGGCACACTTGTTTCAAGATTATTTTTACTCAAAGATCGCAAGTTAAAGAAATGTATGTAGAGCAAGATGATAAAACTGTGTGTTAAGTTTTGCTATAGATGCAGGTATATACATGTATTCGTTAAATTTAGCTTTTGATCATTGGATTGGAATGAGGTGTAATGCTGGTCAAGACTGTGTGTGGTTAGATGGCCGAAGAACTGATTCTGGATATCAAGTAACACATTTAACGTTTCTTGAAAAACTCGACTGTTCATTAATCGCAATTATCTCGATATTTAACCTTAAAGCGTTCAAAACGCTGCATTTATAACGTTATTTAGCCTATGATAGCTAACGTAATTTAATAATAAAAATATTATTCCCAGTCCCATTATGTCAAGAGGAGTTATTTAAATTATATCTAGCATGTTAAAGTTTAACTTTATCTACAAAGAATTTATAACTTAATTTTGTTTATTCACAGTCATGGGCTCCTAACGAACCAAGCGGTCGGGATTGTGTTTGGATTGGTTGGAGAGACAACAACTGGGATGACACTCATTGCACAGACTTTAGAATGTACATTTGTGAACTTATCTAACTCTTTGGCAAATCGGATATATTTTTTCCCGCTATGTTTTTTCAGCTCATTCTTTTAAACATGTGTTGGGATAAAAATTCCGTTGCAGATAGTAAAAAAGAGGTATTAGTCAAACTCTCAAATGAATTAAACAACACATTCTAATTCTATCGGAAATTTTCCTATATAGACAAAGAAAGCCAGAAGCGTGCATTATTCTACAACAATGCACTAGCCGTTTTTATTTCCTCCCTGTGTGTTTTCAAACCGACGTATTGACGACGCCATTTTGCTTGAAAAATCTGATAAATAACAAACAATTTTTTGTCGAATTTTGTTGTGAAAACTATTTAGAATGAAAGAAAATGGTTTAAATAAGAAAATGAATTAGAAAACCATTATATTTTATTCAGTCATTAACGCTGTAAAGACGTTTAAAGTGTTGTTTACGTGACGCGCAATGTAGCGCCAAACAGCACGTGCAAAAAATCAAATCAAGAACGCTGTTTAAATGTCGCAAACGAGTTAAATTTCACATTTATTTCATTATTTTTACTTTGTATTTCGCTTGAAAAATAACGAGAGAAATAAAATAAACAAAGTTTTATCAACGTTTTCTAAATTCGTTATTCTCAAAATGTTTCTACACACAGTAGATTTAACGACAGATTTTTTCATTACACTGGAACAGCCTTAAAGTTTAAAGAACGTTTCTATTGGAAACTTTGAGGCGAAAACAAATTTAACCACCAAACATAAAGTCCAACTATATAATAAATATTATATATTTTCTTGACGTGTTAGAATGGAAATATATATTAATTCTTCGTTCTAACATGCCCCGCACTTTTCCCTATTGAACATAGAAGAACCGAAAGTGTGTGTTTTTATGCAACAAAGTCACTGTTGACGTTCTATTTTTAAATATGTGACGTAACCACTAAAAATGCGACGCGCTGAAAATAAGTACGGAAACAAATCAGGAACAATTTAGCTTAATATCAATTACGGCAGTATTTATTTATTGATGTCGTGTTAGAATCGAGATAATATTTCCAAATCGGTGATTTTATCGCTTGATAACATCACTGTTTGTCGTTCGGATGCGCATCATTATATCACTCGCCCTCCTGATGTAATTCCTCGCGTTCGAACTCTAAACAGTGATGTTATTGAGCGATAAAATCACTGTTTGGGATATATTATTTCTTAAATAATGCACGTTTTTCGTTCAAATTCTTTGTAATTATTGTATATTACTACGCTTTTGAACTCAAACCGTGCATTATTCTACAACAATGCACTCAGAAATGATATCTATTTCCTAAGTATATTCTGGAAATTACTTTACAAGTACGATAATGTTAAAATAGTCCACAATGCGTTCCAGAATAAAAAAGGAAATTCCAGATGTCCTTTTTCCGGGGGTCTACCTCTATGCACTTTTTCAGCAACAAATTTACATGCAGAAAGAGAGAGATAGAGTTAGGGGAATAATTCCCCTTTCTTTTAAACCTCAAACGCATTGTACCTGTCCGTTTTGCGGATGATATTCCTCTATCTTTTCATATGGGTTTATTTTCTAAGGATAATGTTGGAAATCGTTGTTCGGAGTTATTTGATGAACACATATACGTATACATAGAAGAATACATGTATGTTATATTTCTTATACTTTTTGAAATGGGTAAGTAATACTGTCCAGTAATGCAGTTCATTCTCCGAAATCAGTATGGGTGTTTCGCATATGGTATAATTCTGTTCAAATACATGCTGCTTTTTTTCATTGCATTCCTCATGCGTTAGTATGTTCTTTGCCTGTAATTGTTATTTATGTAGATGAAAAGTTTTATAATATATATGGTTTATCCCGTTTTAATAAAGATGGTATGATCAATGACAAAATGGAGGGTAATAATATAAGGCAAGCATTTGTTTTATTTTGGTGACGAATTCGTTACTTTATTTAACATTTTCCATCATGCATCATATTGTTACAGTGAGAATATGTAGTACATAAAACAAATATTAGAAAAAATATTTAAAAAGCTATCAAAAAACTGATATTGATATCATATTTTCAAGCTAGTAATAACATATTATTGTCAATCAGCTATCTGTTTATACAAAATACTTATCCATTTACCTAAAGTGTAATCATTATTTACATTAATTATCACCTTTTTTAGGAAAAAAACTAGCGCAAATATATAATATTTATTATATACTTATAAATGAAATATTGAAAAATATTGATGTAATAAAAATGCGTTTTTTTCATTTTCCGTATTTTAACTATAAAAATCTATTTTTCACAGCAGTGAAACATATTTTCCGTATTTTCACTGGTGTCTTGCTGGACTACTTTCTTTTAAGTTCTGCCAGTTAACAAAATTTAAGGGAAAGCTCTAAAATAGTATTGTCAAAAAGTGAAAAAAAAATGTTTATAATTAACAGAAAATTCAAGTTTTTTTTTAAAAAAAATACAGGATTTATTTTCATCTTGTAGCATGAAAATTACCATATTTCACTCGTGGCTACCGCCACTCATGAAATATTTATTTTCATACCACTCGATGAAAATAAATCATGTCTTTATAGAAAAATCTTGAATATCCTCTATTTATTTAGATAATAAATAAAATAATATTGATAACACAAATAAACAAATTATAATAATAATAATGATATTAAAATGAGAAAAAAAAAATTGTCCGTTATTTTTAGTTTAATATTATACTATTTTTTCTCATTTTACTATAGTAACTATGCTTAGAAGTCTAAAATATTGTGCTTTAACAATATAACTGTTATATTTACCGGTATGTGTTTTTCCAAAATACCCATAAATTCAGGAAGGACATAGAAAAGTTGTTTGAAGTGACAAATTAGGTGGAAAGATAAGCTCCTTTGCTTTCTAAAACGTTTAACAAAATGAACAGGCAATTTACTCGTAAAGTACATGTTTTTTTAAAGCAGTTTTCTT